CTTTTCTTTTCTTTTCTTTTCTTTTCTTTTCTTTTCTTTTCTTTTCTTTTCTTTTCTTTTCTTTTCTTTTCTTTTCTTTTCTTTTTACAACGATGCCAAACCCTGACAAACCTTATTGTAAGACGGCCGCAGCTACCCGAAACCTTCCGCTTTGCACTCTATTAATTATTTGTCCAAAAAAAACCCAACAACAACAACATTTTTGTATGATGTGGTATAGACGATGAGAGGACGAACCGGAAGGTAGGGGCGTGGTATGGAGTTGGGGAGGAAGAGGGAGGGGAGGGGAAGAGGAGCAGAGCGCTAAGGAAGAGGAAAGGATGTGGGGAGCGTAGAGGACGAACAAGAGGGGAAAGGGGGGGGGGGGTCGGTTAATAACACAGTAGTTCCGGTTTCGTAGGAACAAGTGAGTGTGGGTGTGTGTGCGAGGAAGCGACTGCTGGGCCTGGGCCGGCTGCTCGCGGGCTCGGTGCATGAAAAACAACAACACTGAATGAGGGAGGAGGCATCCTTCGGGCGATCCCTCGCGCGATCCTTCCCGCGGGTGGGGCCGCACTTGCAGTTTTCCTGTGTTTTTAGCAGATGCTACATTTGGATTTGGAACATTTTACTAAAACTAATAAGAAATTATACGACAAATGTGTTATTGCTTGCACTGACATGCAGCGAGCAGAGAGGCACAAGGCGTGACGTCACCCAGATGTAAATTACAGGGGGTGCCTGAAGTCATCCGCCGAGGGAGGGGGGGGGGGGGGGTGCGCAGTCAAATTGTGCTCAGGGTAAGAGCAAGGGGTTGCACACAAACGGACGAACGACGACATTTCTATAGTGAGCGGACTTGCACACCTGCGCCTGAAAGATATTTGTCTTTATAGAAAACTTCTTTTTGGCAGTATAGTACTGGAAGGAACTGGGCACACCAGGTGGCTGATAAACTCCTCGCACTCTTGAAGCTGTACCAGGTGGCTGATTAACCCCGCGCACTTCTGTAGATATGCTGTACCGCACCCACGAGTGCGGGCTAGTTGCCTACTCGCCCGGCCAGTAAGGCGCCGTGAACAGGGGCGATAGGCAAGCCCGCCCGCACTCCTACGTGCGGTACAGTCTAACTACAGAAGTGCGCGAGGTTAATGGTACATATGTACTTCACCGCATGCAGGCGTGTGGGGCGGGTTGCCGACTGTGTTCGGGACCCCGCCGCGGCGCGGTGGTGCGCCCGGCCCATCCGGAAGGCAAATATTGAGCCCCCCCCCCCTCCTCCCCTCCGTCGCGTCGCAGCCCCGATAGCGCATCAGCAGGAAGTTTCACACTGATAGAAAACCAATTTTGACCTCTCCTCGTTCGCGTTTAGCCCTCCCAAAGCTTGCTCCCCATCGGCACGACCGACCGACGGCGAAGGCTTCCTCAACGCGGAAGAGAACTACTTTTAAATACGGTTGGTTCTATTTATCGAGAATAACAATTATTTTAGGTATGACTATACTGGCGGGAGAAGGTACCATCACGATACAGTAAGAGCACCAGGCATGCAGGTAATCATACCTCGCCCGTGCCACGTTCACGTCAAGGACCAGCGGTTGAACTTCAGTTGATTAGACTCTGGCTGCCATAGCATTTTACCTCCCCGCCCCCCGCCTCCTCTCCCAATTCTGCTCTCATCCAGACCGACCATCCAACCGTCTCCCCCCCCCCTCCTTTTGCCCTTTTCATACACTTCC